CATGACTTTTTCAGAAGGGAGGGCACTGTGGATCTTTGAAGGAAAACATTTTCTGGTCATGAGAATAAGCTGCAGGTGGCAGGAAAAGACAGTGAGAGGTTGTCTGTTTTACTTATATTGCATGAATGGTCTGCTCCTGCTCACTGGTTGCTCATCAATTCATTTTAGTGAAAGAAAGTGTATATATGGCTGGTGAGGTGTGATGGATAATTAACTTAATTGTGACGAAAATATTGATGTAGAGCAGGGGTTTTCAAAGTCTTACGCTTTTCGGCTCCTCACAAAATTCCTATGGGATCATGATTATGCTATTTCATGGCTATTTTGGCTCCAATTAAGATAAATCAGTCTAATATTGCCGTTTGACAAAACTTAAGACAAAAAATACACAATAGGTCTGTCCTATGGTATTTCTGACTCTGGTAAAGCAGAAAAAAACTCCCTGAAAACAAATGTATCTCGATACTATTGCTCCAACTAAATCACACACATGTAGGCTTCTCTATGAGATCCTCCTTTGATAACTTAAGTAATAATTACTTTAATAATGTTCCCTTCCCTTCAATTGAGCCTACCCTGAGGAGACCTGACTCCCACTTTGAAAACCTCTGATCTCTAGAGCATTGTAAATATAGATAGTGAAGAAGTGAAAGCTTAATATCAGCAGAAGGCCTCTCAGCCTATTTTATGAGACTATGTCAATAGATTTATAGTTGACATTGAAGGGTGAAGGGTTGATGGCTTTGGCAAATTGTGTGGAAGCATAAGCTGTGCATGGGTGGGTCAAGTGTGCAGAGAAGGAGGTCTATGTCAAGATGCGAGCCACCTGGGACTGCATCTCCACATCAGGGTGTGAGAGCAGCTGGACCAGTCTGCTGTGGAGCTGGGAAGACTCATCTAGCATGACCCGGAAGAGGCAGTCCTGCTTCCGCCTCAGTTCATCTGCCACCTGGGCTGAGGCCCTCCAGGCCTTTAAGTTCCCTGCGAACGTCAGCAATCGTAGAAGCACGGCAGAGGCTGTTCGTGCGTCAAACAGCAGCACAACAGAAGCTGGCGCCTACAGAGAAAAGCAGAAAAGACAAGTGCAAAATGAGGATTTATAAAAGAACTCTGCACCTTCCACAACAGTATGTCTACAGAAGAAAATAGATGATGCTACATTTCTATTGACCTCTTAATGCAGAACCATGATACATTATTTTTATATTTCCTTTACTCTTACCTGAGCTTGAACAATGTCATCAATCATATCTGGATTGGATGACAGATTTACAAGGACTTTCAAAGCCTGAACCTGGAAGGAAAATATTAGTAGATAAATCATACTGTATTCATAGCTTTTATCTGATTTCCAAGAGCTATTACAAAATAAAAAAATGGTATGAAAAATGTGAATAATATTATTCAGATGCAACTTTGAAGATACCAACCTGTAAAGTTTCCTTGCTCACAACAACTAGAGAGAGTAAAAGTGTAATTGATCCTTTTAGCAAGTGTTGATGTTTATCTGTGACTGAAAGGTTGGTCAGCAGCCTGAGAGCACCAAGCTGGAGCTCAGAGTTCACTGGAGACATCTCAATCAGCTCCAACACTTGTGGCACATAAACCTATGAGACACACAGGCATGGATATATTACCAGACTATCTTGTATGAAGCCTGATTCTGATTTCAGGATATTTGCAGTACAGTATATGGTGACATACCTTTATTTGTTCCTGGTTTTGGATGTTCATACATAGATTATTCAAAGCATTCAGAGTCTGCACTCTAACCTCTGGTGCAGGATCAGAGAGGAAACCAGCTATGATATGAATCCCTTCAAATTCCCGTAAAAGATTCTGGAGGATTAGAATAGAAGAAAATAAAAATAATAATACATAGTTGAAAAACTCCGTACTAAGCACACTTCAATTTTGTTTTTCTAAGATAGTAAACTCTTACTGTACCTGATTCACAGTAAAGGCAGCAGAATTTCCTAGCGTAAGTAGGATCCGACATCTGTCGGTTGTATTATTGCTGGTCTGCAGACATGACAGCAGCATTTTCAAGTGCTGTGGATCCAGGTTGCCAGGGGACTGGTGGGCGAGGTCACCTACAGTGGAACATTATTTTAAAAACATATATTGGTATTCAGAATCAAAATCCAGTAGATCTCAATGCATTCTTTCACTTACAAGGAACGTGCTTTGATGTATTAGTGCAAAAATATAAACCTATTAAGAGAAAATAAATTTAAAATAAAAGCAGATACAACAATCAATATATAAGAAACGTACATTATATATATATAATAAATATATACATTGTGTACAGGTATTTGTGTTAAAATGAAAGAGTTGTCAGCTGTCATATGTGTAACTCTTTGCACTGGAGGAGACTGAATACCACACAGTAGCTTTTCTTTAACAGTCAAAGGCTCAAATTTGAGATCATAGTTTGGGATATACTGGCAAGTATGTGTTTACAAACAGGACATAAGAGAAATAATTTAGATACACAATATGCTGGAGCAATCAGATATGTTAGTCAAAGCTTTAAGAGCCTCTGGCCCTTACCTGAAGCACTCCCCACAGGTCGGGGACAGACCACATCCAGTCCGGACACTCTGGCCAGCAGGCTGCCCGGCTGCAGGGTACCTTCACTGGGCTGACTGCTCCTCACACCAGCACTTTCATTGGCAGCACTTTTTTTGTTTCTCTTAAAACTCTCCCCGCTAATGAGTTTATATAAACCGTAGGAAGCTCCAGCGCCGGCAACTAAACCTAGAAACGCTTTCATGTTGCCGAGCCTGGGAGTAATGCTGCCATCGCCCATGCTGCTGCTGCGTCTTTAGCTAACGGTTAGCTAGCTAGCTAACGTGAAGCTACTGATGCTCAGTAACGTAACTAACCCGGTTCATCAGTAAGCTAGCGCTGAAGGCAACCCGTTGAAACCACAACAGAACCCAACCAAATTAATGACAGCTGCATTGTTCTGAAAGCTGGAGAAGTTTGCAGCCGAGCTACAGTTGTCAACAATGACCTGCTCTGTGGTTCCGGGCAGCTTGGGTTGCCATATTTGACTGACAAAAAGCAGTCCAGTCAGAGTTTAGAGTCGCCATCGATAACGGTAATGTTTTATCATTAGACAAAAAAAATAACACGGTTACAATCAGGACAAAGTGATGTATAGAGGTCATACATAAAATAAACGTATTTTGGATCAGATAACATTCCTAAACTACAAGTTAACACATTCATAATTATTGTATCATAGAGCTATGACGACATAAACATGTCAATAAGAATAACGCTTTGATTTAGTTGTGATATTGTTGCCAGAAATATCACATATTTGACCTAAATTGTTTAAAAACACACACTTAATTGAAAAGCATAAAAGTAGCCCAACCTGGCAACGCCTCGGCTCAGAGAGTGGCCGACCAAATCGTTCGCTGGGTGATTACTTTCTGGCTCTAAACAATCAATTAACTTTGCATTATATTATACACATCACGTAAAAAAAAAAATCACGTATGCAATGTGTTGGTTAAAACATAATGTGCGTTTCGCCGCTTATTTTGTCCACTTTGTCACTTTTACATCTTGCCGCAGCCCGAATGACATTAGTTGACCAACACCAATGTGACATTTTACTTTATTCGTAACCTGGCAACAACCAGGCCAAATCTTACAAACGCTAAATTGAACTGAGGTTAGTTAACATTTGTTAAGATACTCGATTATTCCTCTACAATTACTCTAAACGACAAATGTGTCAAAGACACACTATGGCTGGGGCAAACGCAAAGCCTGCTCTAAATGAGTGCGATCCAAAACACTGCCTGCCACATAAGGTAAGTCATCGTGCATACAAATGTATTAAGTAAAGATTGCTGCAGGTAATGTTACATATAACATGAGCTAGACTACTCTATGTATTTCACTATTATCATCACTTATGTTAACATTTTCAGAATATGAAAAGTAATTCGGATCTTTTTTCGGCTTCTTTGACAATAGGCCTTATTGACAGCTTCATGCCTGTCATGTCCCAATGACCCTATACAGTTCCTGAAAAACACTCTCACGGCCTTCCAGGGACATGACAGTCTTCAGGATGTTGACTGGTAGGTAGACCATCTTTCTTGTGACTTTCCTTGGGATGGACACTTGGGGGCTCACTTGCTCAACTTTTGTTTTACTTTTTGGAGTGATATTCATGGTAGGCTAAAAAATATGGAGGAGTAAGAATCAAGGTCCAGGACAAATACAATTATTCAATATCTGAGCCAAAATGTCTCAAAGAGGGAACGTTTATATAAAACTGGACAATAAATTAGTGTTTTTTTAATCAAATTGTGTTTCCTATTGCTTTGCGTTGTCCTATGTCGGTTACCTTGTCCAGTCTTTCCATTTACTCACATTAACACAATTTTAAGATACTTAACAGTTTTCTAAAGGTCACCATTAGACTTATTAACTTTCAAAAACCACACCCCTAAGGAAACTAGTCACCAGCATCCTCCGTTCTTATTACCAATCACATTTACAGGCATTGTACATGTTTTTGAACATTTTGGAAGGATAATCATATATTGTCTTTGTCAGCTTAGATTTCCATTTAGAGCATTTTCTTTGCAAACTTAAAGTGGTGGTCATTACAGGTTTTGCAAATAAAGAATAAAAGAAATTCAAATCTTGTGATAAATCACCAAATAGACCAACTTCTTCCAATAACAATCATTCAAAGATCCAAGTTTTTTGTTGGAGATAATCTGTTTTGTTGTTCAACTTTATTTCAATTGTTAAGGCACAAATTTGTCGCTGATGCAGAACAGCTCCCAGCAACAACCACTCTGACCGACAGGACTTCGGACTGTGCCTATATGGAGCCAGATGACATCATGGTACATTATGGTTCAGTATTGTTCATGCCACCAATTGTCAGATTGAGCACAGATTCATCACACACATTAAGACTCAAATTACAGTTTAATAGATTTAAGCGCTTGTATAATAACTGCTGATCTGTATGCCTCTCTAGATGTCCCTTTGCCTCTTCGAAAAGGCCTACTGCTGTTACAGGAACAATTTAACAAGCTCTTGCTTCAGGTATGCCTACAGTATTACAGTTGTGATCATCACATGGTGATGGGATTACTTTATCAAGGATTTCCTGAGGGAGAAGAAAGAGAAGTGCCATTAGACATAGGCTCCATCACCTCCATGGCCTGCTTACCACCCCCCGCACCAAACTGCGAACCTTCGGAGACAGAGCCTTCAGCGTGGCAGCCCCCACCCTCTGGAACGCTCTCCCTGCGGAGATCCGCAACATCCCCACGCTTGACGCCTTCAAAAAGGCCCTCAAGACCCATCTGTTCACCAAGGCCTTTGGCCCCTAATCTATTTGTTGTTTTTGTCTGACTGGTTGTCTGATTGCCTTTTTGTTTATTTATGTTTGTTTTGCCCTGTTCTTCCTTGTAAAGCGACCTTGGGTCCCATGAAAGGCACTATATAAATCTAAGCTATTATTATTATTATCACGAAGTAGAGTTAGTGTTCGTCATTAATTGATTTAAGTGCACCCTATAAAAACAAAATTAAGTTTCAGTTTAACAAAATTAAAGTTAAAATACAGGAATTGTTAACCATCCCCCTATAATGAGTTCTGAGAAATATCAAATTGCCGTTCATGAGTCAGTTTTTTATGCTCAAATACTGGCACTGACTATGCTTTTCATTTGTGACTGAAAAGAAAAACGACCAACTAAAACACTAAAGCTGCTGATTAGCTTACCCCGAGTGACAACAGCAAGATGAGGTAATAAACTTTTTCATGGCTTTCATTATCACAGCAGATGTTTGTAGAAGCATATACACTTGATTTACCTTGAAGATGAAGATGGCAGCAGATCCTAATGAAAAAAGAACAAACAATAATTCAGTTATGAGAGCATTAGGTATTGTTAATAGGAAGCTTTACAAAAGCTTCTTGTTCAAATTACATTTTAAAGTTTCAAACTGATACATCAGAATGTAGGTCAAAGCTTTCACTTCTAATTAATCATAAGTACAACATTCATATATTTACAAGCAACGTTTTAAAAATGTTTCCATACCATGTTGTGCTTCACTTGAAGAGTTTCAATCCTTCTTTATTGTTCTTCAAATCCTTTACATTGCGATAAACATTGTTCTTGTATTCATCCACCTGATATGGTGAATAATGGGTCTTTGATAGAGATAGTCTCTTCCTTTTGTAATCATTTCTGGACTTGTGAACATATGCCTTTACAAATGGTGGTGACCTGTTTGGGCCCATTTGAGAAGGAAGCCTTTTGTTGTGTCCACCATTCCTCCAAAATATATCACTGAAAGTAGAATCAGAAACCTTGGATGCAGACAGTGGTTTAAGATGCAGGTTGGCCACAATACGAGGCTCTTTATTCACATTGGCTGGAGTCTGTTGTTCTTTGTTTGGTTTTATGGAGGTCTGCAGAGCTTTGTTTGCAGAAAGACCTCGTCGTAGTGGGTTAGAATATAAGCCCTGGGGGTTTCTGACACCATGTATATCATTGCCAAAAAATCTTGAATAGGCCTTCTCTGAAGCTGAGGTCGGAGCCAAGTTAGTAAGAGAGTTCAAATGCACATCATCTCTGGCCCAGGATGAGATCCCACTCTGAGTTGAATCTAAGCCACTAGAAATGGGAATAATTATGGTATTGTCAGCCATTCGTTTTGGTCCCTGAGTGCCAGCGGCTTGATTTAGCTGGGAGAGGTTTGATTTCTCCCCGTCTTTTGCAGTCAGGTTGAAAGGAGGGCTAACATCGACTGTCTGGTCTCTGAGATAGCCACCATGTCCACTTGAGTCTTGAAGCAAGCTGAAAGGTTTCCTAGTAAACAGTCGGTAGAATCTGACTGGCTGCTTTTTGTTGAAAGCTTGAGGCTGAGCATCATGTGGGCTACTTGTTTGAACTCCTACATGACCGCTACTTGTCTTTGGCAAGATGTTATCAGAGCTTGAAGAAACAGAACCAGAAGATACAAGCAGGTGGGAGGTGGGAGAGTGGTTTATAGCCTTTGATTGCTTGTTTTCAGTGGGTTGATAAGCCTCCAATGGTTGGGCTGGGCTTTCCCTATGTTTTGGTAACTGATATGGGATGTAGTATTGACCTTTCGGTGGATTGACATGTACACTTTTTGCATAGGAATTCAAAGATCTGGGCATTGGTGCAGACAGGTCATTGGCTGAGTTCACTCTGCCTAGCTCCTCACTTTGGAAATCTTCACCAAGTTCAAAGCCACCAGTGTGAGATGTATATTTTGGTTGTTGGATAACCTTAGAGGTTAAAGGCTTTATATTGGATCTCTGGCTTGAGTAGTAGCTTAAATCTTGAGATGGGCTGTATGGAAGGCTGACAGGGGGGGCCGTCACATAGCCATCAAAATACAAATCATCTCCATAGTATGAGCCAGAAGGTATTTGTTCAGGGAGATTGAAGTTTTTTGACTGGAAGTCTTCATTTTGCTTATAAGAAGCACTTGTAAAAATATCAGGGTTTTCCCCAAAACTATCAAAACTACCGTAATTACCTGAAACATGCTCTGGGTGGCGTGGGTAGAGAGCAGACCCTGGGCCAGAGTCTTGGTTGTCATAAACACTGGAATAAGTGAGTCTTTCAGTGGAGTTGTCAGGATCTGGGACAGAGGAATTTTCACCTGGCATTTGGTAATTGGCGCCATTTTCACTTTGTTCAAACGCTGTATTCATAGCTTCACTCCAAACTTCATTTTCACTGGCGTCATCATGGGCGGTTACTTCTTTTGTATAATTAGACCTATAGCCCATGTCCGTCTCCCCCTTTATATTTTGAGCATTAGCAGCCATCTCATTTTTCAAAGTTTCCCGTGCAGTTTGAAAATGTGGACCAAAGGCACCTCCTGGAATCAAAAATGAACTCTTCAGTTTTTCTATAAACCGTTTGAAATCTTTGACTGTCTGAAAACTAGTCCCCTCCATAGGTTTCGCTTGTGTGTGCTCATCAACTAAAAGGCCAAAGGGGTGTTGATTACCAGCTCCTTTATGCTCATATTTCTGCACTGAGGGGGCAGGGACATGTTCTGAGTCTGGGTTGTTTTGTACCACGTCTTCACTGAGGCCAGTAACAGAGCTAAAATCCTCATGGTTCTCTGGTTCTCCTTGAAGGGAAATAAAGCTGTGGCGTCTCAGAGCTTGCATTTCATCCCTTGGACTGACAGATTCTTGGTTGGTGAATAAAGGTTCTCCAGAATCAAACATGTTTGAAGTTTGTGTGCGAGGCCCACTTTCATCGCTACCGAAGTCATCACTATCGAGAGAGTAGCCATGTGCAGTATTGTAACCTATCAGGGAATAAACAGACATTACAATAAATTCATTTTGTTGAACATGTTGAGGAATAATACAGAAATCTTACCTTTTTGAGTAGTAAAGCCAATGCAGTCCCAAAACAACAGAGAGCAAAGCCAAGACACCCTGAATAACAATAAGGTTTTTTTAAAAGAGTAACACAGGCCAATTTTAGCCAAATATACACTTGTGTTTTATTTACCCAAATGGAAGAGCCATGGTAGAAAATTCAACTCCAGCAGTCACTCTCAGCAGACACAACAGCAGACGGTTGATTAAAACTACCAGCCCAGAAAACAATCAACCATACTCCCTTTTTTTTCTCTCCTCAAGGTTTGAAAGCCATGAACCATAAGAAAAGTGCAGGTGAGGATAGTAAAACCTTTCTGAGTCTGCTACTCTGATGCAATTAGGTGATTGAAGACAGCTGGTGCTGTGTTACAACCTAATTAGACCAGCACAGGTGGAGCATTTATTCAGAGAGCTGAGTGGTGATGGCTGAAATATCACTCAGCTATCCAGAAATAGCTCTAAAACATCAGTTGCCTTCCTCTAAATGTCCTTTGTGAATCCATAATTCTTTAGTATATATTTATAAATGGTATGACTGATAGGACGACATCTCAAAAAAGACTCAGATATCACTCTATAAAGAAATGTGACCCATGCAAATTAAAGTATTTTCTGGATCATTGCTAACACAGTTCATGAAGATATTATATTTCACAGTTTAATAATAATAATAATAAATAATCCTTATATTTATTATAGCGCTTTATCAATGACTCTCAAAGCGCTTTACAAATACACATTACACATACAGATCAAACATACATGTAATGGTCATCTGCTGTGGACAATACCCACAGGAGCAAATTCGGGTGAAGTGTCTTGCCCAAGGACACAACGGCCTGACGCACCTGTCTATTGTCAGTGCATACTTCTACAACATTGACCTTTTATCCAGTCAATAACTCTGCCCTGTCTAAATGTCCCAACCAGCTTCAGTTGATATCATCATTAGAAAACACCAATACAACAGTATTATTTCATTGTTACTGACTCCTGTGCCGTTGGGTTAATACAGGTTTCTGTCAGTCTGCCTGCTTACCTTTCCACTGAATTAATGATGAGCTGTGTTTGATGTTTGGGACAGGAAGTGGAAGAGGTTCGCTGCCCAGAGTAAGAGAGATATTGCGGAGCTGGCTTTGAAGATGGACCTGGAAAAGAAGCATCATGAAAGAAACTGCCAGCTGGTTGCATTTGCTAAATGGTTAAACTGGGTCAAATTACGCAAGAAGACACAGGCCGGTAAGTGCTTACTCAAATATTCTGTACTCCTGATGAATTTTGACTGTTTTTGGAAGCTAACTTGAATACAATGCCAGAACGTACATACACTGTGGTTAAGGAATCTGTCCAAACTGAATGTCCTGACACATTTCTTCCCGACTACACTCACTCCTGTGACTAATTTTGTCCCTTTCACATTTCACTCTTGAGACTTGGCCACATTTTTCTGGGCTTTATTTGTCTTAGGATTCAGTAGAATCCAACTTTGTGATCAATGATAATAATATTTTTGCCATGATTTAGCCCACATGCAAAGTGTTCTGTGCGAAACTGATGAACATCTTTTCTAATTAGTTGCCTCGGAAAAACTTGAGAGTCTTGTCAACGCTGGTCGTCTTAAGCGCATCATAGCTGCATGGCGTAATGTTTTAAAGGACCCAAAGAGGACAAAAGAGTACTCTAAGGTAATCGTTTATTTATAATTGTATTTATTTTTGAAATATACAAATTCTCATTCTTATCATTTCTTATTTTAATGGTTTGTTTGGATCTTGCAGAGGTTGCAAATGGGATTTATAGAAATTGGCAACAAAGTCAACCAGACCGAGGAAGGATGTGACATACTCTCCATGCTCCCTAGCAACCTCTCACTGAAGGTAGTTCCTCTTAAACTACATTAAGGTCCCACACAGAGAAATTATAGCTGTGGAATTAAATGTGAAGCAGCTCAGTGATGAGATCATACGGGTTACATAAGACTTTAAGTAAACTTCTCTGTCAACATTCCTCCAGTCTCTTAGAGGCCAGGTTGTATAATATCAACTAAGATCATTGGGATCAAGTATATCTATTACCAGAGAAAGAGTTTTGTTTCTTGAACAACTGTTATCTCTGTTATGGTCTTTGCCAATTCAATTTTTGTTTGTATGATATTATTACAGAAGTATTTTAATACCAGTGTTGTAGCTGTACCAGCTGTAAACATATTTTGACTCTCCTTGCACTGACAGACATATTCCCTGTTGTTTTTGGATTCACATTTGCTGGCAAAGGCAGGGCAGATTTGGCTTTGTTTGCTCTGGTGTTTCTGTCCAACACCTCCTGATAAATGGTGCTTCAACATGACTATGTTTGGAGAAAGAAAGAGGCTGCTTGTATACTTACACACTGGTTCTCTAAGTGGCAGAGGAGAATCTTGTCTTTCTAATTTAGGTGCTTAACTGTCCTCTTGACATTGCACAAACATTTCCAACATGACAACTGGTCTCTAAGATATTGGTACACATAACAGAGAATCTACACGTGTACACCTTTCCAAACGATCAAACGTCATGTGATTTCTTTTCTGCAGATCTTTCGATATTTAGAGTTGCGAGACTGGCTAAATTGTGCTGAGGTGTGTTCCACATGGAGAGCTATCATCCAGTCAGGCACATTGTGGAGTCAGGTCTGTACTAGGAGGATGCATCTTTAATCAATTTCATAGTAAAGTTTGAAGTTATACTTGAAACAGGATTATAAATGTTCCTTAATTTTGTATCCCTATTAGATCAACTTCTCTGTGGAGAAGGACTGGATAACAGAGGGTAAGATGAAGCAGATTCTGCAGAACTACCGTCCATTTGTGATCCATCTCAACCTGCGTGGCTGCACAACTCTAAAGGGGCCAAGCCTGAAATGCATCAGTGAGTATTGCACATTCAATTACTAGATTTTCATTTTGTGTTTCATCTGCAATACCCATATTCCATCATACAGATCATGTCCTTTTGATAATAATTATGAGTAGAACAACCAATAAGTTAATAACATTTTTATACTTTGATTAAAAGGAAAGTAGGATCTCCATCTGATACAGACAGTTTAATAATAATGAAAGGAATCGAAAGAAGGGAAACTAAATAGCATTTGCAAAAGGTTGTTGGTCATATTTCACTGGATTCAGGACAGCCTGATGATTTTGTATTTCTGTGGTGTTCTCAAGTGGCTGGGCTCCAGCTCCTCCTCCAGCTCTCCCTGCACTTCCATTGCTGTGTTCCAGAGTTCAGGGTCTGTTTGGTCTGGATCTGTTCTGCTGTGCTGTCTGTCCTTTGGACACGCTCTGTTGTATGAACGCACATACTCTGCTACACTCTCCCCTGTATGTTCAGGAGGGGAGCGACACAGCATGCCCGAGTACCTGACCCCTGGGTGAAGGCGCAGCCAGTACATCATGTAGTGGATGCTGAAAAAAAATCCAGTCATTTATTATTTGCATTTGTCTAAAGTAAATAAAGGAAGCATTTGCACTGAAGAACCCACCTGTAGTCACACACCCAGGGGTTTCCTCCCAGTTTTAGCTGTAACAGGAAGTAAAGGTCTTCAAGAACCCCGTACTGGACAGAATGCAGGCTGTTGTCGGACAGGTCCAGCTCACGAAGGTGCAGCAGCCCAGAGAGGGAGCCTGGGAGAGAGAAAAGAGAGATTGATTACTTCTCTCTTCTCTTTGTATAGTTATATTTAGACAGACCTGTTGTTGCTGTTTATTGTTTACAGAGAAAAGCTAGTAGTGAAATCAAACTCTGGAAGGAATGCGTTGGTTGGTGTTCAGTTTGTGTCTGAATCACTTAAGCAGAGTGTCCACATTATGTGCATAACCCTCTCAGCTTTCCCCACTATAAATAAAGTCTGTAAATAAATAACTGTATACACAAAGATGGCATAGTTCCCAGTGTCTTAAAAGAAACAGGAGTCGGCAGCAGTTGTTTAACATGCTCTCAAACTTTGGCCTACCATATGATATCCATTAGCCAAATAAAAAAAAAATGGGGTAGGTTTTCATTCTGGATGTTACTGGAAATATGAAGCACATACTGTAATATGTACTGGTTATGATGAATAGGTACTGGTATGATGTAATCATAGCTCACATACCTGTGTCAATGTGCTCCATATTGTTATGACTTATGTTGAGGCTTCTTAGGCTCCTGGCTCCTTGGAAAGCTCTGGCTTTGAGATGACGGATTGAATTATGGGACATATCTATATGAACAACATCTTCTGGAATACCTGTAGGCACCTCAGTTAGACCTAAAAACAAAACAGACGGGGTTAATGAGGGAAGGATTGCTCCAATATATTTCATTATTTTACCTCTTGAAACAAAATATAAAATGTCTTCATTCATATGGTCAGTATCTTTTTTTATTGATTACAATGAGGGATTTTTCACCTTTACCATTCAAATGTGCCAAACCTTAGATTGCACAAAGAAATAGACAGACTTATGCTCTATCATTAATCTAAATCCAGGCTTTCTGCCAATACGAGGCAGATAGTTGTAACACTTATTATTCTTAGGTTCATTTTAAATGCTTTAGCAGGTTATGCAATGGACTTATTCTGATGTCTTTGTTTAGGTAATTATTTCCAAGTTGCTCATAATGTGACATGTGAATCTAAAGTAAAATCAGTCACAGGTTAAGGACCCAAGCAACTTAATGCTGAATAGAAAACAGCCGCCAAACCAGATGTGTCTCCTCCTGCTCTTCTCTTTTGAGAAGTGGACGTTTTTTCATTCTACTCATGCAGCAAGAATATTAACCATGAACATACGAGCTCCATGACATGATGCCTTAGAGGTATTTTTCCCTGTTGCATCAGAAACATATGTGCTGAGGCTCAGGGTAAGGTTCAGTTTATGAGACATGTAAAGGAAAAAACTGTTTGTGAACTTGCCTCGCTTGCTGCAGTCCATCCGTACTTGTGGGAATAGGTAGGTGTGGCAAGATGTGGTGGCATCCGGTTTAGTGCGAATTGGAATAGGTTGTACGGGGTTTGTGGAATATATTTGGTCGCCCTGTGGTTTGCCTGTTGGGTCTGTCTTCTCCTTACAGAGAAACTCTGGGTTGATCTGCCTCAACTTCATGCCTTTCAGTCTGGAGGGCTCTGCACACCTAGAAGAGATCATGATGAAATCCAAAGTTATATATGGAGGCTCTGTGTTATTATTAGAATCAGTAATGACTTGTTTATCTGTGAACAAAAAAAAATATATTGGTGGAAATCACCTGGCATGATTTCCTAGATTACGGTTGCTTGGGACCTGAAGGGTGCGGATGAGACTTTCCATCGGGCAGACACAGTTCCAGGGATTGTCATGTAGACGTAGATAGTGTAGGTTCGGCATGGAGATGAGGGCCTCTTCGCTCAGTGTCCCCAGGCGGT